GGCAATGCAAGTAGAATTAAAGCAGTAGAGACCCATCCCATTAGTTAGAATGCAGATTCTACCAATGAACAAGTGTGGAGATGTTTCCTTTATCAACTGCCCTGAGAGCCAATTCCCATGGCTATCTTCCGTTAGACATTAAAGTGAAACGTCCCAGATGGCCATCATAAACATTCCCCCAAAAGGTGAGGGGATCTCAAGGCACTTCGGCACTAGGAAACCAGTTGTAAAGATATCAGTTGTCACAGGCACTGCTAATAAGTTGACTCCAAGCCCCCCCCCCCCGTCCTCCCAATTGAATGGCAGTATGACTGTTAGGGATCTGACAATGGGTTGCAACTAATTCTATAGATGTTCAAGATATTTTTGTGTTTCTTTATTGTGGACAATTTTCTCAACTGTGATAACTTCATTTAAAGCATGTGTCACATGGCCATCAAGTGATGTATCGTGATACTTTTCCCTTCACAGAGCGGCAGTGGGCGTTGTCTATGTGTCACACATCCGGCCCATGAGCCACCAGTTTGATGCCCCTGATTTAAAGTGTTGATGAGCTGGTGTTTAAAACATTCTTAGATTGCTGCTACAATGAGAATCAGTAGGGGATAATAATTTAAGATCTTGCTTTGGGGCCAGAAAGTTTCATGTTCAAAGTCCATTTTCAGCAGGGAAACTTCATTGGTTGATTTGGGCAAGTCATTTCTCAGCACAACTTATTTCCTAGCATTATTGGGAAAAATTGGAAAAGGGAATGTGATGTATATTACTTTGAATTCCTAGAGGAAAGGTAGGGTATAACTATTAGGGATATTGTTGCAGAAATGAGACCAGGCCAGCTCTTTGTTGAAGGGAAAGGTTTATTGCGCAAGGTTCAGCAGCGATAGCTCAAGCAGAATCTGAACCCGAAGGGCAGTTTGTTACAGGTTTTTATACTTTATCAGCCAGGATATTGATCATTCTCCTAAGTACACATTCTTCCCGTGTCATGTATGCCTCGAACACATTAACCCTAGTGACAGGATGTCTTGATTGCCTTATGAGGATAGAATCTTACCAATTTCCTGCCTAGACCTAGTCAGGTAGATAAGATATTCAATACCCTGTGGAATGGATAAGGCTCAGGGCATTCTTGTCTGGCTTAACTTTACATTTTATATTAACCTTCTATTTTAATATAAAGCGTAAAGACTGAAAATCTTACATAAACTATTTTTTGTTCCTTGGGGATAACAGTATTTCTCTAGCGGTTTTCTTACCTCTTTGTGTTGATGAAAGAAATGTCCTTCTGGGTTCGGCTCCAAGTGGGGAAAAAGACACTGGAGACATGGAGGCTGCTTGGAAAGATGTTTAATGGAGGACAGGACTACATGGCTTTATATTAAAATAGAAGGTTAATATAAAATGTAAAGTTAAGCCAGACAAGAATGCCCTGAGCCTTATCCATTCCACAGGGTATTGAATACCTTATCTACCTGACTAGGTCTAGGCAGGGAATTGGTAAGATTCTATCCTCATAAGGCAATCAAGATATTCTGTCACTACGGTTAATGTGTACAAGGCTTATGTGACACGGGAAGAGTGTGTATTTAGGAGAAAGATCAATATTCTGCCTGATAAAGTATAAAACCCTGTAAAACTAAAAAAGCCTATATATATATATA